TTGTTTTTCTCCCCTTGGTTATTTGGATGTTATGTACCTGGCTTTTTTTTCCAGTGGTTATCTTTAATTTTTCCACTAACATATTCTCTCAATTTTGAGAGTTTTTAAAAAAGATGTTATTGGGATCCCTGGGTGGCGCAGCGGTTTGGCGCCTGCCTTTGGCCCAGGGCACGATCCTGGAGACCCGGGATCGAATCCCACGTCGGGCTCCCGGTGCATGGAGCCTGCTTCTCCCTCTGCCTGTGTCTCTGCCTCTCTCTCTCTCTGTGACTATCATAAGTAAATAAAAATTAAAAAAAAATAAAAAAGATGTTATTTATTTATTCATGACAGACACACAGAGAGAGGCACAGACACAGGCAGAGGGAGAAGCAGGCTCCCTGTGAGGAGCCCGATGTGGCATTTGATCCCAGGACCCCAGGATCACGACCTGAGTCAAAGGCAGACGCTCAGCCACTGAGCCACCCAGGTGCCCCATCAACTTTGAATTTGTTTTTTAACTTTGAGTTTTTAATGATATCTATATTTATATCTAAATTCCACAATAGAAACAATCATTAACAACTTTAATTTTTCTCTATTTCTTACCTCCATTTTATTTTCTTTTAAGGATTTTACTTTTAGGGGCAGCCCGGGTGGCTCAGTGTTTTAGCGCCGCCTTCAGCCCAGGGCCTGATCCTGGAGACCCGGGATCGAGTCCCATGTCGGGCTCCCTGTGTGGAGCCTGCTTCTCCCTCTGCCTGTGTCTCCGCCTCTCTCTCTCTCTCTGCGTGTGTCTCTCACGAATAAATAAACAAAATCTTAAAAAAAAAGATTTTATTTTTCAGCAACCTCTACACCCACTGTGGGGATCAAACTTACAACCCTAGGTCAAGAGTTGCGTGCTGTATGGACTGGGCTAGCCAGGAGTTCCCTACTTCCCTCCCTTTTTTTTTAAGAAATATTTTATTTATTTATTCATGATAGAGACACAGAAAGAGAGGCAGAGACACAGGCAGAGGGAGAAGCCGACTCCATGTGGGGCCTGCTTGAATATGAATATCCTATTTCATATTTTCTATTTACCCTAATATCTTGTTTCTTTCTGCGCCTCCTTTCCTTCCTTTTTTTGGATTAATAGAATTCCATTGTTTTTCTCCCCTTGGTTATTTGGATGTTATGTACCTGGCTTTTCTTTGTGGTGGTTATCTTTAATTTTTCCACCAACATATTCTCTCAATTTTGAGTTTTTTTTAAAGATTTTATTTATTTGTTCATGAGAGACATAGGGGGAGAGGCAGAGACACAGGCAGAGGGAGAAGCCGGCTCCATGTGGGGAGCCTGATGCGGGACTCGATCTCGCGACCCCGGGGTCACGACGTGAGCCAAAGGCAGACTCTCTACCGCTGAGCCACCCAGGCGTCCCTCCCTACTTCCTTTTTAAATAGACAATTATTTCATTCTTTTATTTACCAGTGGTTTATATGAACATCGTTCAAATCAGGGGTTAGCGAACTTTTCCTGTGAGGGGTCAGATAGTAAGTGTTTGGGCCCATGTGGGCTCTGTTGCAGCTATTCAACTAGGCTGGTTTTTGGTTTTGGTTTTGTTTTATAAATTTATTATTTATTGGTGTTCAGTTTGCCAACATATAGCATAACACCCAGTGCTCATCCCATCAGGTGCCCCCCTCAGTGCCTGTCACCCAGTCACCCCCCGCAGGCTGGTTTTTGTGGCACAAAACAGCCATAGACGACACATCAATGAACAAGTGTGCTTTGTGCTGATCACACTTTGTTATGGCCACTGAAATTTCAATCTTGTACAATTTTTACGTGTCACAGAATACTCTTTTGATTTTTTTTAACCATTAAAAATGTAAAACCTTGGGGATCCCTGAGTGGCTCAGCGGTTTAGCGCCTGCCTTCGGCCCAAGGTGTGATCCTGGAGACCTGTGATCAAGTCCTGCATTGGGTTCCCTGCGTGGGGACTGCTTCTCCCTCTGCCTGTGTCTCTGCCTCTCTCCCTCTGTGTCTCTCATGAATAAGTAAATAAAAATATTTTTGAAAAAAGTAAAACCTGAGGTGCCTGGGTGACTGAGTTGAGTATCCGAGTCTTGATTTCAGGTTGGGTCATGATCTCAAGGTGGTGGGATTGCCTGAGTAGGGCGTGGAGCTTGGCGAAGAGTCTGCTTGAGATTCTCTCTCTCCCTCCTCTTCTGCCCCTCCTCACCTGCATGCTTGCTTGTGCAGGCACATTCTCTCTCAAAATAAATAAATAAATCTTTAAAAAAAACTTTATAAAAAATAAAAATGTAAAAACTATTCTTAGCTCACACAAGTACAAAACCAAGCCGTACTTGGCTAATCCCTGGTTCAAAGAGTTAAATGGTTCTATAAGATTTATTGCAGGGGATTCCCCCGGGGGGCTCAGGGGTTTGCGCCTGTCTTCGGCCCAGGGCGTGATCCTGGAGTCCCGGGATCCAGTCCCACGTCGGGCTCCCTACATGGAGCCTGCTTCTCCCTCTCCCTGTGTCCCTGCCTGTGTGTGTGTGTGTGTGTGTGTGTGTGTGTCTCATGAATAAATGAATAAAATCTTTTTTAAAAAAGATTTATTGCAAAACATGTCAATCCCTGGTTTCCTCCCACTTAATTGTCCACTCCCTGGAATCAACCACTTTCATCCCTTACAGCTGCTTCTTTTGGTATTTACCCCTAATTCTCTAAACTGTTTTTCGTTTTGTTTTTAAGGATTTTATTTCTTTATTCATGATAGAGACACAGAGAGAAGCAGAGACACAGGCAGAGGGAGAAGCGGGCTCCATGCGGGGAGCCCAATGCGGGACTTGATCCCAGGACTCCAGGATCACGCGCTGGGCCATGCTCAGCCGCTGAGCCGCCCAGGCTTCCCTGGCATCCTATTTTATATTTTCTATTTACCCTAATATCTTCTTTCTGCGCCTCCTTTCCTTCCTTTTTTTTTTTTGGATTAATAGAACTCCACTGTTTTTCTCCCCTTGGTTATTTGGATGTTATGTACCTGGCTTTTTTTTCCAGTGGTTATCTTTAATTTTTCCACCAACATATTCTCTCAATTTTGAGAGTTTTTAAAAAAGATGTTATTTATTTATTCATGACAGACACACAGAGAGAGGCACAGACACAGGCAGAGGGAGAAGCAGGCCCCCTGTGAGGAGCCCGATGTGGCATTTGATCCCGGGACCCCAGGATCACGACCTGAGTCAAAGGCAGACTCTCAGCCACTGAGCCACCCAGGTGCCCAATCAACTTTGAATTTGTTTTTTAACTTTGAGTTTTTAATGATATCTATATTTATATCTAAATTCCACAATAGAAACAATCATTAACAACTTTAATTTTTCTCTATTTCTTACTTCCATTTTATTTTCTTTTAAGGATTTTATTTTTAGGGGCAGCCCGGGTGGCTCAGTGTTTTAGCGCCGCCTTCGGCCCGTGCTGAGATCCAGTCCCACGTCGGGCTCCCTGCAGGGAGCTTGCTTCTCCCTCTCCCTGTGTCCCTGCCTCTATGTGTGTGTGTGTGTGTGTGTGTGTGTGTGATGAGTAAAATATTTTTTAAAAAAGATTTATTGCAAAACATGTCAATCCCTGGTTTCCTCCCACTTAATTGTCCACTCCCTAGAATCAACCACTTTTAATCCTTACAGCTGCTTCTTTTGGTATTTACCCCCAATTCTCTAAATTGTTTTTGGTTTTGTTTCTAAGGATTTTATTTATTTGAGAGAGAGGAGAGAGTGCATGAGTCGGGGAGAGGCGCAGAGGGAGAGGGAGAAAGACAAGCAGACTCCCCGCTGAGTGAGGAGCCCCGACATGGGGCCCAATCCCAGGAACCCGAGATCCCAACCCAAGCTGAAAGCAGATGCCTAACTGAGACACCCAGGTGCCCCTAAAGAAATAATTTATAGTGCTATTTTTTATTTTCATGTTTTAGGAATTATTGATCAAGTTTTTTTTCACTATGAAGATGATAATGTAGCTCTTTCTCACCACCCCCCAATCCTTCCCATACAGTATGCAGTGATCTGGGTTAGATCATTGGTGTTCACATTATCAAGTCCATGGAAACCCTGGTTATAACTGAGCCATCACTCTGACGACTTTTCTTTTCTTTCTCAATGGTTCATTTACCTTAGACTTAACACTTGTCTCCCCCCACTCCCACATTGCTTATTCTCAACTGTTTATCATCGGCCAGCACTTCCCCCAGCTGTCTACATCTCCTCCCCAGCTGGCCAAAGATGCCCAGCATTCCATGTGCTTCTTTCCCTTGGAGTGCTCTCTCCTGGAACCCCCCCCCTTTTTTAAAAGATTTTATTTATTTATGAGAGAGAGAGTGTGTGTGTACGAGCAGGGGGAGGAGCAAAGGGAGGGAGGGGGACAAGCAGATTCTGTGCTGAACCTGAACACAGAGCCCAACACAAGGCTTGATCCCAGGACCTTGAGATCATGACCTGAGCGAAAACCAAGAGTGGGACACTTAACCGACTGAGCCACCCAGGTGCCCCTCTTCTGGAGCCTTTTGACTTGCCCTCCAGCTGGCAACCTGGGCACCCCTTCCATCATCCAGGAGATTCCATTTGCTTCCTTTTGACCTGTTTTATAGATCTCCTCCCTACCTCTTTCTTAGGTTCCTCTCTGGTTTCAGTGGTTCTCCTTCTCTAGTAGCTTCCAGAGAAAGAATGCAGGCGAGGTAAATGATTTCAGCTCTTTCATGTCTTTAGTCTAGTCTCACAACAGGTAGTTTAGGTGTAGAACCCTAGGTTGGAAAATCATCCCCCCCCCCAAGTTTGGAAGCATTACTTCATTCTTTTCTTGTTCTCCAGTGCTTTGCTGAAAAGTCTGAGGACATTGACTTCCAATTATTTGAATGTGATCTATTTTTTTTTCTCTCCAATAGCTTTTCTCTCAGCAATTTGAAGATATTACTCAACTCTCTTCTGGATTTCATTGATACCATTAAGAAGTCAGTTTCTAGTCTGAAGGTCATGGTTTTAAAGGTAAATAGCTTTTTTAATCAGGCTGTTTTAAAATTTTGTGTACAGATGTGAACCTAATACTGTTTTCCTGTTTGGGATTTATTGGGCTTCTTGAGTTTCTGGACTTGTGCACTTCATCAGTCCTGGAAAATTCTTTTTTTTTAATTTTTATTTTTATGATAGTCACACACACAGAGAGAGAGAGAGAGGCAGAGACACAGGCAGAGGGAGAAGCAGGCTCCATGCACCGGGAGCCCGACGTGGGATTCGATCCCGGGTCTCCGGGTCGCGCCCTGGGCCGAAGGCAGGCGCTAAACCGCTGCGCCACCCAGGGATCCCAGTCCTGGAAAATTCTTTGGGACAATCTCTTAAAATCTTGCCATCCCTTCATTTTGTTAGACTTTCTCGTTTCATCTTCCACGTCTTCTGATTTTCAGTGTTTTTATTTTCCAAATTTTGTGTTTCTTTGTGCCTCTGTGTTACGTCCAGGACACTTTACTTTTTAAGATTTTATTTATTTATTTATTTATTTATTTATTTATTTATTTATTTATTTATTTGAGAGAGTAAGCAGGGGAGGGACGGAGGGAGAGGCAGAGAGAGAATTTCAAGCAGATTCCCTGCTGAGCACAGAGCCTGACACGAGGCTTAATCTCACAACCCTGATATCATGATCTGAGCCAAAAATCAAGAGTTGGACGCTTAACCCCCTGAGCCCCCCAGGTGCCCCTGAATGCTTTCTTTAGCTCTGTTTTACAATTTACTAATTCTCTCTACAGCTATTTCTAGTGTGCTATTAAATCCATCTATTGAGGGATCCCTGGGTGGCGCAGCGATTTAGCGCCTGCCTTTGGCCCAGGGCGCGATCCTGGAGACCCGGGATCGAATCCCACGTCGGGCTCCCGGTGCATGGAGCCTGCTTCTCCCTCTGCCTGTGTCTCTGCCTCTCTCTCTCTCTCTCTCTCTCTCTCTCTCTGTGTGTGTGTGTGACTCTCATAAATAAATAAATAAAAATTTAAATCCATCTATTGACCACTTAAAAACTTTTAAAACCATGAAATTTGGCAGATGTATATAAAGGAGCAGGAAACATCAACATGCATTTTTAGGAAATAATGATAAGATGAACTCGCTTGTACTACTACTACTCAGGTCAAGCACCTTGGCCCCACATGTCTCTCCCAATCACACTCCCCTTCTCCCACTTCAGTGGGAGCCACTGTCCTGATGTTTATGCTACCAGTGCCCACACTTTTCTTTACATCTTTATAGTCTATTGCCCCTAAACAACATCGCTTTGTTTTGCCTACTTTTGAACTTTATATGAACCAAACCATACAGAGTATGGATTTCTTTGTGTTTAGCTTCTTTTATTCAACATTAGGCTTGTTCATTCATGTTTTCAAGGCTGTAGTTCATTCTCATGGCTGTATAGAAGTATATTGCTGAGTATTTTACAGTTCACTTGCATCTTTTACTACTGATGGGCAGATGGGTCGTGTCTAGTAGTTGGTTATTGGGAACATTAGTGTGCCTGTTTCCCAAGGCTATTCCTATTAATACAATTGCTGGGCCATTTGGTATGCAGGTCTTCGAATTTACAATTTACCAGTGGTTTTTCCAAAGTGCTTTTACCAATTACTCTCCCACCTGGAGTGATTAAGAGTTCTTATTGCTCCATATCCCCGCCACAATTTATTGTTATTAGTTAGTCTAAGTTTTGCCAATCTGCTAGGTGCGTGGTGGTATCCCATTTTCTGAATTGAGGTATAATTTGCATACAATGAAATACAAGCCACGTATTATAATATAATCACTCCTGATTTACACTAGGAAATCACTTGCAGATTGAAAATTGTTGTGAAGGCTCTGACAGTTAAAAAGTAGAAATAGAAAAAGAAAAGTAGAAATAGAAAGAGGCTCCACCTGTTCTTTCTTTAAAAAAAAAATATTTTAGGGATCCCTGGGTGGCGCAGCGGTTTAGCGCCTGCCTTTGGCCCAGGGCACAATCCTGGAGACCCGGGATCGAATCCCACATCGGGTTCCCGGTGCATGGAGCCTGCTTCTCCCTCTGCCTGTGTCTCTGCCTCTCTCTCTCTCTCTCTCTCTCTCTCTCTCTGTGACTCTCATAAATAATTTAAAAAAAGATTTTATTTTTAAGTAATCTCTACCTATATCTATTTGAGCATGGGGCTCAAATTTGCACCCTCGAGGTCAAGAGTCACCCATTCCACCGACTGAGCCAGCCAGGCGCCCCTCCACGTGTTTTGACCTTACGTACCTTTCCTAGCTCATCACCATCCATTCTGCTCTGGCCCACTGGGCTCCAGCTCTGCTGCTATAGGCATCTTTATTTTAGAGATGAGAAAACTGACCCTCAGAGTGGTTTATTAATTTGCCCTTGCGAGGGACAGATTCATTTGCATGACAATAGAGATTTTCACCCTCCACCATCAGCTCTAGATGAGCAAGAAATGTGTCTGGCTTCTGTGCCACGCGGTAGGCGCTCAGGAAATGTGTGTTGAATGAATGACTGAATGAACCTATCAGGATGCAAACCTCCTTTCCTACCTCTTCTATCTTTTTTTCCTTTTTTAAATTTTATTTATTTTTTATATAAATTTATTTTTTATTGGTGTTCAATTTGCCAACATATAGCATAACACTCAGTGCTCATCCCATCAAGTGCCCCCCTCAGTGCCCGTCACCCAGTTACCCCATGCCCCTGCCCACTTCACCTTCAACCCCCCCCCCTAGTTCGTTTCCCAGAGTTAGGGGTCTATCTGCCTGGCAGTAGTAAGATAAGAAGCCATATGGGTTGATGGAAACAAACTTATTCCATACTTTTACAAGAGTAGTTCTTTTTTTGTTGTATATTTTTTTATTGGTGTTCAATTTGCCAACGTACAGCATAACACCCAGTGCTCATCCCGTCTAGTGCCCCGCTCAGCACGCGTCACCCAGTCATCCCCACCCCCCGCCCTCCTCCCCTTCCACCACCCCTAGTTCGTTTCCCAGAGTTAGGAGTCTTCATGTTCTGTCTCCCTTTCTGATATTTCCCACTCATTTTCTCTCCTTTCCCCTTTATTCCCTTTCACTATTTTTTATATTCCCAAATGAATGAGACCATATAGTGTTTGTCCTTCTCCGACTGACTTACTTCACTCAGCATAATACCCTCCAGTTCCATCCACGTTGAAGCAAATGGTGGGTATTTGTCGTTTCTAACGGCTGAGGAATATTCCATTGTACACATAAACCACAGCTTCTTTATCCATCATCTGTCGATGGACACCGAGGCTCCTTCCACAGTTTCGCTATGGTGGACATGGCTGCTAGAAACATTGGGGTGCAGGTGTCCCGGCGTTTCATTGCATCTGCATCTTTGGGGTAAATCCCCAACAGTGCATTTGCTGGGTCGTAGGGCAGGTCCATGTTTAACTCTTTGAGGAACCTGCACACAGTTTTCCAGAGTCGCTGCACCAGTTCACATTCCCACCAACACTGCAGGAGGGTTCCCCTTTCTCCGCATCCTCTCCAACATGTGTGGTTTCCTGCCTTGTTAATTTTCCCCATTCTCACTGGTGTGAGGTGGGATCTCATTGTGGTTTTCATTTGTATTTCCCTGATGGCAAGTGATGCAGAGCATTTTCTCATGTGCTTGTTGGCCATGTCTATGTCTTCCTCTGTGAGATTTCTCTTCATGTCTTTTGCCCATTTCATGATGGGATTGTTTGTTTCTTTGCTGTTGAGTTTAATAAGTTCTTTCTAGATCTTGGAAACTAGCCCTTTATCTGATACGTCATTTGCAAATCTCTTCTCCCATTCTGTAGGTTGTCTTTGAGTTTTGTTGACTGTATCCTTTGCTGTGCAAAAGCTTCTTATCTTGATGAAGTCCCAATAGTTCATTTTTGCTTTTGTTTCTCTTGCCTTCATAGATGTGTCTTTTTTTTTTCATAGATGTGTCTTGCAAGAAGTTGCTGTGGCCGAGTTCAAAAGGGTGTTGCCTGTGTTCTCCTCTAGGATTTTGATGGAATCTTGTCTCACATTTAGATCTTTCATCCATTTTGAGTTTATCTTTGTGTCTGGTGCAAGAGAGTGGTCTAGTTTCATTCTTTATGAAATGAGATCTATACCAGTACAGTTGGTATTCCTTGGAAGAGTGAAGTCCAAGAACAGACAGGACAGCTGTGGAGGGAGGATTCTAGCCATCTGGGGGTTCTAGTGAGGTATAGTCATAGAGTGAAAAGTCGAGTGCTGGGGACACCTGGCTGGCTTAGTCGGGTGAACATGCGACTCTTGATCTCAGGGTTGTAACATCTATAGGTTGTGAGATCACTAAAAAAAAAACAAAAACAAAACCAGGTGCTGAAAGGAAGGGAAGAGGGGCGTGGAAGTTGAACTGGACCTCCCCAGTCTGTGTTGGGCCCGTGTTGAATGCACACATCTTGCATCCATAAGTACCTGCGCTTACGCCTAAGTGTGTTTACAGAGTGAGGCAATGCCATGTCCAGTTCTACCTGCAGCTCCCAGAAGCACCTGTTAATGATTTCTTGTCTCCCCACGCAGGCAGAACACGCCAAGGACCCAAGTGCAGCCGTTGCCTCCAGCGTTCCCTCACGTAGGTCCCCGTCGTCTGCTGAGGATGGCCCCAGTGGCCATTCCAATGTCTCAGACAGGGAGATGGCCGGGAACTTACAGGACACCATCAAGCACCGCATCCTCTACCTCTTAGAGCAGCTGAGAGTGGAGAAGGCCAGTCGGGACAAGAACACCGTGGGCTACCTCAAGCTGGTGTCCAAAGCCGACCGGCACCAGGCCCCCCACATCCGGCAGGCCTTCGAGAAAGTGAACCAGCGCGCCTCCGCCACCATTGCCCGGATCGAGCGAAGACTCCGCCACTGTCACCAGCAGCTGCGGGAGCTGGAGGAGGGCCACAGGCCCAGGGGCTTGGTGCTCAAGGCAGAGAGCAGCCTGGCAGGCTGCAAGCAGCCTGGCGACAAGGCCCCGTTTTTAGAACCCCCCAAGCCGGGTGGGGAGGACTGCCTGTCCACTGACCTCTCTGACATTGTCAGACACTCGCCCCTGGAGAGTCACCTCCCGGCCTTGCAGCGAGGGAAGTCCCCAGGGGCAAAGCGTGTGGCCCCACAGCGAAACCTGCTGTTGCAGAAAATGAAGGAAGACCTGAAAGAAGTCAGGGATGTGCACCGCAACCTCCAGGTGTCCTATCAGAGCCTAAAGGACAGGCATCTGATGGACCTGCAGGTGTCACTAGAGGCCCTTCAGGAAGAGAAATGCAGGTAAGGTGCAGCCCTTTCATCTGCCTTGGCTCTGGGGACAGCAGCCCCCAGGACTGTCTGCTGGACTGTGGGACTGTCGGCCCGGAGAGTGAAGGGGATCAAGGACGTGGACTTGGAGGGTCAAGGGGGAGGAGCTAGTCAGTGTTTCTTTGGGCAACTGAGCCCCGCAGCGGAGGGGGCTCATGCCTACTTGCTGCCACACTCCTGCCTGGATCCTCTGCTGGTGAATGAGGCTCCGGCTCAAGGTCCGGCCCGGTGGTCCCAGAAGCCGTGGGCTCTGACCCGGGTGGTGAGAGACAGTTGTGGTGGTGGTGAGCCCAGCAGGTGGCCATCACTGGTCGGGGGCGGGGGTCCTGCATCTGCTGGGATAGAATAGTGTGGGAAGCTGGGTACCTCACCAGCCGTGGTCCTTTCACCTGTGCTCATCGCTGAGTCGGGGCAAAAGGTCCTGGGTGGGATATTTATTCTGAAAATGATTGGTCTTCTGGGGGGTGCTTTCTCCCCCTGTGTGGTGGGTCAATTTTATTTTCATCTAGGACGACTAGGGCCCACAAATGAGGGGGGGCAAACTCAGTCCCTCAAAGGACCCACGCCATTCCCATTTGGGCCTTTCGTCGGGTCCTGCCGGCCTTCAGCGGTGCCGCAGTCTTCCCCCCGATGCCCCCAGCCTGTTGCATCAGGGACTTGCATTGGCTCTAACCCTTCCAACAGTCTGGCCAGGGCGGGAGGGATTCGCTTCGAGGAATCAAGATTCTCAGTAAAGTAAGAACTCTGCTCTCCCTTTGTACCTCTGTGTATGCGGGGAAGAGGCACTTGGGAATCAGTCTTCTGTTTTCACAGGGAAATGGTACCTGCGTTTACACTGCTTGACAAATCTGTAAAGGACAATTAGAAAATATTGGGGGGGAGCACCTGGGTGGCACCATCGGTTAAGCATCTGACTCTTGGTTTTGGTTCAGATCATGAGTTCAGGGGCATGGGATCGAGCCCCACATCAGCTCGTGCTCTGTTTGGAGCCTGCTTGAGAGTCTTCCTCCTTCTCCCTGTGCCTCCCACTCATGCTCTTTCTGTCTCTCTCTCTCTTAAATAATAAATCTTTATTTTTTAAAAAAAGATTTTATTTATTTATGAGAGACACACAGAGAGAAGCAGAGACACAGGCAGAGGGAGAAGCAGGCTCCAAGCAGGAAGCCTGATGCGAGACTCGATCCCGGGACTCCGGGATCACGGCCTGAGTCAAAGGCAGACACTCAACCGCTGAGCCACCCAGGCGTCCGTAAATAAATCTTTAAAACATATTGTCAATTAAGATAACCAGTTGTCAAATAAGACAATTGTCAAATAAGATAATCAATCAGAATTATAGGATTCTTTTGGATGTGATTTTTGTAGGACGTGGCAACCAAATCTAAAACGTGGGGACTCTTACTGCCCTTTGGTCAAAATACCATTCATTTCCAAGGTTGGATTTTTTTAAAAGATTTTATTTATTTATGAGAGACAGAGAGAGAGAGAGAGAGAGGCAGAGACACAGGCAGAGGGAGAAGCAGGCTCCATGCAGGGAGCCCGACATGGGACTCGATCCCGGGACCCCAGGACCATGACCTGGGCCGAAGGCAGGTACTTAACCGCTGAGCCACCCAGGAATCCCCTCCCAGTTTGGATTTATATAAAGCAAGACTAGAGCTCAGTGGCAGGTACACATGTCCCCATAAGTTTCCATACTCCATCTGCCAACAGGCCTGTTCTGTTCTTATAAGCTCTTAACCCCTTAGCAAATCAGGATCTGCCAGCAGTTTGGGGGAGCAGGATGGCCTCCCTCCCTCAGATTCCCTGTGAATTCTACAAGCTTGCACTTCTGAAAAAGCTGCCCCTACTGCCATTGGACCGTGATAGGAGTGTGAAGTAAACTATAATTGTGTTCAGCCACTGAGATTTATTTGTTGGCTACAGCGAACAGCTTACCTTAATTAATATACGTTAGAAACAACAAAGCAGGTCTGTATGACTCAGATTTACCAGGCGACATGGAGAATGGGCAGGAGAAGACTTTATATAACAGCAGTGACAGCAGGGAACAAGTAGCACTGTCACCTGTACTGTTCAGTCGCCCACTTTACAGATGGGGAAATGGAGTCTCACGGAGGCACAAGCGTGTCCGGCCCTGTGGCTTCCTAATCTACGTGAAGGCCACACAGGAATTCGTTGCATTTTTAAAAACATACGTCTCCTTCAGATCTTTTTAAAAACCTTTATGTGTGCTAGAGGCAGACATGACATATGTGTTGACGTCAGTGAAGTGTCACCTGGTGTCCACACTTGTGTGGTCACCGCCCAGGCCCCCGTGATAGTCACAGTTCTTCTGGTGTGTCACAAACTGAGATTCCAAACTGAAAAGTCCTGTAACACTTCTCACAGGTAAATGTGTTTGCTTTCAAGAGGGCTTTCTTTTATTTTTGAATTGAGATGAAACTCATAAAACAAAATTATGCATCTTGAAGGGTACAGTTCAGTGGCATTTAGTACATTTTCAGTGTTGTGCAACCACCACCTCTGTTTGGTTCCAGACATTTTCATCGCTCCAGATGGAGACCCGATTGCTCCCAATTCACCTTGCCCCAACCCCTGGGAGCCACCAGTGTGCTTTCTGACTCTCTGCATTTGGCTTTTGTGGGTAATCATGTGAATGGAATCATACAGTGTAGACCCCTTTGTGCCCATCTTCTTTCACCCAGTGTAATGGTTTTGAGACTCATCCACGTCGTGCATAGGAGTAGGTTCACTCTCTCTTGCTCAGCGGAATGTACAGAGGCACCACAGTTGGCCCATTCACCAGCTGCTGCTAGGAGCTGTTATGGATAAAGCTGCTAGGGGCCCCTGGGTGGCTCAGTGGTGGAGCATCTGCCTTCGGCTCGGGCTGTGATTCCGGGGTCCTGGGATCGAGTCCCGCATTGGGTTTCCTGGGGGGGGGGACCTGCTTCTCCCTCTGCCTGTGTCTCTGCCTCTCTCTGTGTGTCTCTCATGAATAAATAAATTTTTAAAAATGTGAATAAAGCTGCTATGAACCTTCTTGCACAGCTTCTAGTGGCTGCCAGGCTCAGCTTATGGCCACATCACCCCAATCTTCAAGGGCAGTATCTTCACATCTCTGTCTTCACATGGGCCTCTCCTCTGTGTGTAAAAACTCCCTCTGCTTCCCTCCTGTAAGGTGCGTGTGGCTGCACGTTTGCTCAGGAGGACCGACTCCGTCCCTGCCGCATTACCCGACTCTACCTGTAGGGCTTGATCCCTCCTACAGCTCTTCCTCTCTCTCAGACTTCTTCAGGTTGGAAGCCACCAGCTTCTAGCTCAGTTTGCTAAAAAACAGTCCTCAGGTATGATCAAGAATATACTCTTTTTCAACAACAGTAAGGTTGAGGGCATTTTGTATTAGCACGGGCAGCCTTCACAGCTTTGGAAGATTTGGGGGGGGGCATTTTTTTGGCTGGTGGTCAGTCTGTCTTTATGAGTGTTTTCTTTTTTTTAAGATTTATTTATTTATTGTAGACAGGCAGAGAGACAGATGAGTGTGTGAGCATATGGAGGGGAAAGACAGAGGGAGAGGGAGAGAGAAACTTTAGCAGACTCTGTGCTGAGGGCAGAGCCCAATGCATGGCTTTGTGGGGCTCGATCTCACAACCCTGAGATCAGGGCCTGAGCTGAAACCAAGAGTCGGACGCTTAACCGACTGTGCCCCCCGGGCACCCCTGTAAGGGCATTTTCTGGAGTGATCTATTCTTTTTTTTTAAATTTTTTTTATCATTATTTATTTATGATAGTCACACACACACACACACACACACACAGAGAGAGAGAGAGAGAGAGAGAGAGAGAGAGAGGCAGAGGGAGAAGCAGGCTCCATGCACCGGGAGCCCGACGTGGGATTTGATCCCGGGTCTCCAGGATCGCGCCCTGGGCCAAAGGCAGGCGCCAAACCGCTGCGCCACCCAGGGATCCCTGGAGTGGTCTATTCGCCTCTGCAGCTGTAGGAGTGGGACAGAGGGGGGTCCGTGACTAAGGGAGGGGCAGAGAGGAGAGTCAGCTGTGCTGCAGCCAGGACGCTGCTGCCCGAGGGCGAAGAGGGTGGGGGCCAGAGACGAGGGGAGGCTAAGAGAATATCCTTCTGACTTGACATTTTCTCATTCAATCATATATTCAAGAATGCATTTAAGGATATATTTGTAAATTCTTATAAAAATAGTAATGAAGGATCTGTTTATTGACTTCCTTTGGGTGAAAAGTATATTCATGAACATATGCTTGAGCATAGCCAGTAGTTTGAACGTTCTCGTGTCTGAATCCTTTGTGTAGATGGAAGGACAGGCATGGGGGATGTCCTTTCAAGTGGACACCATACTGCCGCCTCCTCTCTTCGGGCATTGTCAGTCCGCTCTTCTCAACGAGGAGTAGGCCAGAGACTAATGGAATATTTCTTGAAATACTGTCATCAACCAGCTCTTGACAAATTGGCTTTCAGCAAATGATTGTTCAGCTCATTAGCTGCCTGGGGCACATCTCCACGTGAGTGTCAGTCAAGTCCTTGAAGCAGGACCAAACTGACCTCCTTGCCTCACGTTCCCTGTCTGTGCGACAGCACTGTTGCTTATGCTCTGTGTGCCAGAGCCCCGTGAGCTGATCAGCCACATCCTCTATTGCTCTGTTTTCCAAAGGGCACCAGGCCCTAGCCATTCGGTGGGTCCGGGTACCTCTCCACTACGGCAGCATCACCGCCCACTCTGCACCCATGGGACAAGCCTTCCTTGGCTCTTCCCTAAATGACAATGCTAAAAGCCACGTGGCCTCTGGCCCATCCTTCCTGATGCCCAAATGAAGAACCTCAAGGTTTTCTTTAATTATGAAATATTCCAAATTCAGGGAAAGTGTAGAGGGTAACATGGTCAGGATCGTGTATCCACCCGCAGCCTTCTCAAATCTTTACATTTACCCTGTTTACTTCACATATTATCTTATTAAGACATAAAACTTCCTTTTTATTTATTTTTTGAAAGATATTATTTATTTGTTCATGAGAGACAGAGAGGCAGAGACACAGGCAGAGGCAGAAGCAGGCTCCCTGAGGGGAGCTCGATGAGGGCCTCGATCCCAGGACCCTGGGATCACGCCCTGGGCAAAAGGCAGATGCTCAACCACCGAGCCACCCAAGCGTCCCTAAGACATAAAACTTTAGAAGGTTCATTGAAGCTCTCACATCATCTCTTCCCAACCCCGCCCCCCCTTCCACCCACCTCACTATCCTCATTGGGCCCTTAGCTTTTCCGTGCGTGTTTTTTTGTTTTACAACTTTTATATATGGCTGGTTATATACATACTGAGTTGTGATTTTTTTAAAGATTTTATTTATTTATTCATGAGAGAGAGAGAGAGAGAGAGAGAGAGAGAGAGGCAGGGACTCAGGCAGGAGAAGCAGGCGGCCTGCAGGGGGCCCGATGTGGGACTCAGTCCAGGATCCCGGGATCACGCCCTGAGCCAAAGGCAGACACCCAACCACTGAGCCACCCAGGCGTCCCTTGTTTGTGGCTTTTAAGAGATCTACTGAGATATAAGTTACACGTCATAAAATGTGCCATTTTAGCTACATGTTTCAATGATCATTAGTAAGTTTACTAAGTTGTACAGCCGTTACCACAATTCATTTTTTGGTTTTTGTTTCAATAACAGGTTTATTGAGATATAATTCCCGTCTTGTAAAATTCACCCATTTACAATCAGTGGTTTTTAGTACATTCACAGAGTTGTGCAACCATCACCACTGTCATTCCAGAACATTCTCACCGCTCCAAAAAGAAACCCTGTCCCGTGAGCAGTCACTCCCCACACTCTCCGCACCCCCCAGCCACCAGGAACCACTCATCTGTTTCTGTCTCTATGGATTTGCCTCCGCCGAACAGTTCATCTAAATGGAATCATACAATATGTGGTCTTTGGTGACTGCTTCATCCCTATAATCGGTAGACTTTTATGGAATAACTACCCCTTGCCAAACACGGCCGCTGGGAATTTCTATGGAATTTAGTAGCAGGCACGGACGACTCAGAGTTTTATTTCTACAACTTCTAGTCTATGGCTGGTCTTGTAAAGCTGTTATGAAAGAGTACGTGTCTACGAAGATACCGGAATGTCAGTGTGTGCGTGGCTGGTGTGCATCTGTGGTGTTCTGAGGCAGACCCGGAGGAGGAGGGGGGAGGAAGGAGCAATCTGAACCCAAGTGTAGTCTCCACAGAGGCCTGCTCACCGCCAGCACGGCCTCTAGGCAGGGGACTTAGGGGAGAACGACTTTCTGTTTTGCTCCCAAGGCAAGCGCTGATGGAAGAACAGGTGAACGAGCACCTGCAGGGGCACCTGGATGAGATCTACTGCCTCAAACAGACTCTGGCGTGCATGGAGGAGAAAATGGCCTTTCTGTCCTATGAGAGAGCCAAGGAGATATGGGTGAGAGCCTCACAGTTGGCGGGGGGGACGGGCAGCGGCCTGTAAGGAAATGGCCAGTGAGGAGGGCACAGGGATGAGAGAAGCCAAGGGCGAGCATCCTGACATCCCGCAAACTAAGGAGACAGACGGGTCCTTAGGCGGCCCCTGCAGAGGTTCACTCCCAACCCACATACTTGCTTTAGCGCCAGCGGCGTCTCGCGTCTGTGCTCCTGCGGCCCCCCCGGCCCCCACCCTGCCCGCATCCCGCTGGGCTGCCCCGGAGCTGGGGCTCTGCAGTTCTCATACTCGGGGGTGCCTCGGCGCCGTCTGAGGGCTGCCCTCGCCTGTGGCGGTTAGGCTCATTCGCTTCCACACCCCGAGACCCTACTCTTGTCCTCGGGCAGCTCTCGCCCGGCCAGGCCCTCAGTCTGAGGCCACACTGCATGAGGGGGTGCAGCCAAGACAGATGAGACCTCGCTGTTCCTGGGACAGGACAGGGCACTGAGCACGGACGAGCTCCAGGTTGTTGACTCCCCTCCTAAATCCCCAGCTCACCGACATTTGCTGCGCACCTCCGAGGAACTCAGGCAAGTGACTGCACTTCCCGTGACCTCTCATGAGGGTGTGTGTTCTTGTCACCTGCAGGAGGTCATGGAGACTTTCAAGAACCGTATAGCTAAGCTTGAAACTCTGCAACAAGTGACACAACTGGAGGTGACGCACAGGTTCCGGATCCGTCCCCAGGAGTTTATGTTCCGGCTTGTGAGCCTGCTCCTCACACTGGCTACTATCCTCCTCGTCTTCATCTCCACTGTGTGCTCCTGCCCCTTGCCACTGCTCAATTCCCGCCTGCGCACGTGCACCACACTCCTGCTGATCGGCCTCGCGGCCCTGGCCTGGCAGAAACGGCATGCCTTCCCTACCACCGACTGGCAGGCCTGGGTCCCCTCCAGATGGAGACTGTACCCCAAGGATTCCAAGCCTCTATCAGATGGGACTTAGAGGGCCTGGGCTTGCTAGCTCACGCTGCCTCCTGCGTGTTGGGGCGTCCAGCCAGCCCCACCTGGATAGCCGCTGCTCAGCTCTCCCTTCCCGATTCCATCACTACCAGCCCGCCTCGCACTTCCCCTCCTCAGGGTCCTTCTGTACCATCTGCGGACACAAGGCTTGGAAAAAATATTAAACTGTCTGAAGCTGATCTGGAAAGTTTGGCTTTGCAGTTCTAGTCCCTCAGGGCCTCTCGTGACCTCTCTGTCCCCCTCATGCTCTCTCGTGACCCAGTGACCAGACCCTCAGAGGCTCAGGTGTCCCCAGGCTGCAGCGGTAGCCTCTGTGACTTCGTTGTTTTTGGCAAAGAGAAACTACATTTCTTTCCCAGGGATGGAGAAGAAGGGGCAGTGGAGGGAGGTGGCCAAAGTGCTGGTGCGGGGGACAGGGGTAATGTTTTCTGGTAGGAAGCAGAATTTTTTTATTGTCGTGGCTGGAGAGACTCATGCAGGTGACACTGAAGACACAGATGAGGCCTCTGTTCTGGAGGCGCTGGAGAGTTCAGAGCTATCGTCCACCTTCTTCCCAAAAAGCTGCAAGATGCAGTTTCGAAACTGGCAGGACAGAAAGTGTTATTCAACACAGCAGAAAGGGCCGACGTACTCTGCTAAAGGTCATTCTTGGGGAATTCTAGGCAGGTATTCATTGAGGGTCACCTCGATCACTTAACACCTTCCCTGCTACCATTCAGATTCTCATGCGGAGAATAGAGGAAGCTTGAGGTTATTACTTGCACGTGGGGATGGTCTACTCCTGACTATTCATTCGTCAAAGTCATCTAATTTAGAATCTGATGGTGACCATAGTGGGTCAGATTGTGACACCCCCCCCCACCGCTCCGCCAAAGCTATGTTTGAGTCCTAACCCCTAGAGCCTGTGAATGTGACCTTATTTGGAAGTAGAGTCCTTGTAGATGTGACTAAGATGTACATTACCATGAGGTCATGCTAGAGTAGAGTGGGCCCTCATCCAATGACTGGCGTCATTGGAAGAAGGGAATTTGGACACAGACTCGGAGAAGAGGTCATGTGGAGGTGAAGGCAGAGATGAGATTGGTCTGCAAGCCAAGGAATACCAAGGATTACTGGCCACCACCAGAAGCCAGGAGAGAGGCAGGGAACAGATTCACCCGCAGAGCCTTCAGAAGGAACCAGCCTCGCCCACACCTTGACCTTGGGCTTCTGGCCTCCAGAACTGGGAGAGAATACATTTCTGTTGTTTTAAGTCCCCCCAGTTTGTGGTCCTTTGTTATGATAGCCTCAGGAAACTCATACAGGAACCAAAGATGATGCCAGCTTAGGGGCCCGTGCACAGGGTAACGATCTCCAGAATGTCTGGGAAGAGACTCAGAGGCATTTTAGTGAAAAGGAATGTGATTGTCATCTTGTTCCTTTTTTTTTTTTTGAAAAAAGATCTTATTTATTTATTCATGACAGATGCAGAGAGAGAGGCAGAGACACAGGCAGAGGGAGAAGCAGGCTCCCTGCGGGAAGCTTGATGCGGGACTCGATCCCAGGACCCCGGGATCACACCCCGGGCCGAAGGCAGACGCTCAATCACTGAGCCGCCCAGGCGTCCCTGTCAACTTGTTTCTATTCCATCAATTTTGAGGCCACACAAGGACTAAGTAGATGACAGTCTAGCCACTACCTGGTGTCTTTAGCCAAGAGAATCTTTCGCCACCAAGAGGGCCCACTCTTTGCTGCTTGGCCCCTAAAGAGATCTGGAATGTATTCATTTCCCAGATTATGTTTCATATCATCAGTGAGCGAAGCACTGTGTGAATGCAGACCAGAGGCATCTCCTGTACATTCCAGGCCTATCCTTGACTACCTCCAGCTCCCTCCAACATCCAAACTGTCACAAATAAAACATGTAATTATTGAAATGAATTACACAAGAAAGGGGCCGAAGAGGAGAATTGACTTAGCTGAGGAATGCATTTGGCATCTGCCTACTGAGCACCCACTCCGCGCCAGGCTGTGCCCCAGGGGGATCAGCAGTGGACAAAAAAGAGTAACATTCTCTGTCCTCGCGGAGCTCCGTTACAGAAAACACTCTCAGAAGGCAGCAGGAAGGGATGACAACGTGGAAAGGGTAAAAGCAAAGTTTGAAAGCCTGGAGGGGTCCAGAAGTACAGCTGTCTTGTCTGCGGGAGGGGGGAGCTCTGTAAGGGGAGGATGGAAAGACTCAAGTAAACACAGCACGAGGCAGGATGGCCTAGGGCTCCACAGACAAAAGCCAGACCTAACAAGAGACCCACGTGAAAGCCAGGAAACAGGAGAGAGAACTACGCTCCATCCAGGGAGTCCTGGGGAGTCAAGTGCACTACTGGTCCCACTTAGTACTTGAACATCATCAGGAGAGTGTGTGCTTAAAAAAAAAAGAAAAAAAGAAAAAGAAGAGCATGTGCTTAAGGAGCTCCGCAGGGAGCCAGGGCCAGGTCGGAGCGGGTGGGGCCACGGGGGCGACCGTGAAATGGAGGAGCAGGGGACAGCTAGTTGGAAGGAATGGGGACCGGGTCTTGGTGGAGGGGCAATGCGAGGCCCCTGCAGGGGTGCTATTTCTGGCCCATGGACCTTTCTGTTAACCATGAGGTCACACATCACAGCTGCACCTTAATGAAGTAGATTTGATGGGTTCAAGGAAGAACAGGGCCAATTACACTTGGAAGATGATGAGCCTCAGTGGTCACCTGTCACCTGCCGAGAGGTCAGTTTGCTGCTGGGGTTCGAAATGCCAGCCCATGGTGGCTACCATGTGGCAAGACCTTGGGCGGGACCATAGCACGTTCCCCTGAACTAACCCGTGAAGTCACAAAAGCCACATGTCAGTGCAGTCAAGAAGGGCCTCTTAAAGGGTTTGAAGACGGAAAGCTGAAGATTGGGAGGAGAGCAGGACGGGCACAGCTAGGGTAGATGTAGACACGTTCAGGCCTTCCTTGGTGTGTGAGCTCCGGGATGGCCCTGGGGCCAACAGAAGGGAGGAGTGGAGCTGCCCACCCTCAGGCCAAGACTCTGAAAGGATCCAGAGGGAGGCCAGCTGCGCCTTCACGTGCTGCGCCTTCTCTGGCGGTTGTCCTGGAGGTCATCAACGGGTTCTCCTGGACATGATTCCAGGGGGAGCCATCACTGGGCTCTTCTGGGGTCTATTTCGAGTTTGTTTCGCAAACGACGTGACTTACCTGCCGGTTCATGAAGACATAGATAACGGGGTTGTAGATAGTGGCACTTTTGGCAAAGTAGGCTGGCAGGGCGGCCACCAGAGGGTGGAAGGCGTAGCCAGGGTGGGCAGCGGCGAAGCACGCAAAGAAGGTGTAGGGCCCCCAGCAGAGACAGTAAGCGAGGACCATGACTACCACCATGCGGGTCACCTCCTTCTCCGCCTTCTGGGTGGACTCAGATTCTTTCTGCTGCTTTGCCACCTGGGGGAGACAGAGATTCATGCCCAGGGACGTGAGTGGGAGCGTCCCTCCCGCCTCTGTATCCCAGGGGCTCTGTGTTGCTATTGCTTGGGCAGTGAGTCAGGGAGTCAACAAGAGACAGGTGGCCCCGGGATGGGGAGTCCTGGAGAGAAGGAGACGGGCTCACCTGGGGCCTGGCAGCAGCCAGCTCCCCACCCCCCCAGTGAATCCACAGCCTGGCTTAGGCTGGACCAGGCTGGCCTTGAGGGAGCCCGAGGAGGCTTTGCGGCAGCATACTGCTGGCCCCGGAGAAGCTCTTGGCTTAGCTTGGCTCCTGTAAGGAGTTCGGGAAGGAGCTGAGGACGCCACTCTTAGCCTCACTTGGTCCCTTATCAGAGTGTCCCCTCCCGTGCACAGATCTGAGGGGCTGAGCCGGAGAAGACACAGAGGCCAGACATTGCCTTTATATTCTGCAGCATGAACCTCAGGGTTGGAGGAGGAATAGGGGCGGAAGGCAAATCACGGCGGAAAGGCAGGGAGTTTGCGGCCGTCACCCTAGAAAGGGCTTAGAGCACGTGCCGGTCTCACCACCCCAAAGGCCTTCTACTGCCTGTGCCAAGCAGGACCTCATGGGGCAGTTGGCGCATCCAGGCCGGACTGACTGTAGGTGGGGCGGCTGACAAGGGGGCAGCTTCTGCATGGTGTGCTTCCTCTGCGCCTCGCTCTGAGGGGGGCAAGGGGGCTGCGGACGGGACCAGCTTCCCAGGGAGGAGGGTGGACAGCGGGCTCGGGGGCAGATGGCACGTGGGAAGCCACTGCCTAGCCTGGCCCCACAGCCTGTGAAGGGGACAGGGTCCCTCTGGTAGCAGCCTTTCAAAAACACCTTTTGATATGCAGGTTTCGCTTGCAGATCTGGCCGGCTGCACTGCACTCCCGGGGAGAGGGGAGCTCTCCGCCCAGGGGACAAGTGTCCTGGGTCAGGGAAGAAACGCAGCTCTTGCTCCCTTGTTGGGCCTAGGAATTGGGGGGGGGGGACACGACAGTCCTTTCCAGTTGCATAGGGGCAAGGACGAGGGAGCCAGGGCTGCAGTTGTAGCCCCGAAGGAATTGTAGGATTCAAGTCAGGTTTGAGGGCAGGAGAGAGGACTGGGGGACCCCTCGTCCCAGCTTAGACGTCCCGGTCCTCGTGATCCTACCAGCGGGGGGTGAAGCCAAGAGGGCTTGGGGGTTTACCGCTCGGATGGCCAGCCACACTTGGAGGTAGCACAGTATGATGACGCTGAGTGGGATGATGCAGCACGTGGTCATGAGGACGATCATGTAGGACTGCACCCCAGGGTACGAGCTGCCACTGAACACGTCCGGGCCACATGAAGTCTTCAGGCCATGGGGCCAGTACCTGGAGAGAAGGGCTGACAGCCTGTTCTGATGTAGGCAGGGCAACCTGGGACCCCCCAGTCCGGGCATGCTGCTGACTTGGGTTGGAGGATTGTTGGTTTTGTTGGCTTGTTTTTAAAGCTTTATCCATTTATTTTATTTTATTTTTAATTTT